CCAAGGAACTATGATAATATCAATAAATTATAATATAGTTTTGACTATTCCATGATAAATAGCAAATATTTATAGTAAATAAGGAACAATACTAAAATTAAATAACTTATTGCTAAATAGAAATTGGAATAGCAGAATTCCCATCTCTTTAAAATTCAACAAGATTTCCTTCTAAAACCTAAGTGGCAAAATTATTAAGATAGTTTATAATCAATGATAAATCAATAAAAATATTTTGCTTATCTTGACTATTAAGCCTCTTGATATTCATATAATCAATAAATTAACATTATTTTTTTATTATTTTTTACCTTTAGACTTTGTTGAAATACTTTATAAACTATAACATTTTTTAGACCTTAAAACAATACTTTTATTTATATACATTTATCAATTTTATATTATACTTAAAAAGAACTGCAAAATCTAAGATTACTTTAGTAATAAAATAAAAATTACCTTCCCCGTTTATCATAAGTTTTATTTAAGCTTACTATAAAAACTAAAATAAATATGTATATTCAAAAACAAATTTAAAGATTATATCATTTGATATATCTTAATAAATTAAATTTTGATTGCCCATTTTAATTATTATCATATCTTATCTTAATTCAATAGGATTATTAAAATATACTACTTAGTATCAAAATTAGAATAATAATTATAATAATGGATTTTAAATAGTGTCAAAAAGATGACCACTAAGGCTAACCAGTAACTTTTATTGTATAAGAAAACAATCATTGGACGATGTGTTGTGGAATGTGTTAATTTGAATCAAAACTGCCAAAATAATCATTCACAGCTATCAAAGATCTTGAAAAAATAAATTAAGAAACTATAGAAACTATCAATTAGTCGGAAATAATAAATTGTTTAGAACACTCATTGGAGTTGGTCAAAGATTGGTAAAGTATGTTTGAGAATTTATTATTGGAACTAAAAAACTTATTTTTATAAAAAATAAACTACTACAACTCTTTAATTGAAACATTAAAAGAGAATTATAAGTTCTTTATATTAAATGATAATAAATTATAAGAGGTTCTTGAATGTAGGGAAAAAATTAACTTTAATTTAATAAAATAGTTAGATGAAATATCAATTCTTGAAATAAACATGAATAATGCATATGAAATCTTAAAATAAAGTTCAATTTTTCAATCATCAGAAGATGAAATAACATAAGGATTAATAGAAGAAAAACAAAATGATAATTAGGAAAAATCTTAAACTAATTCTATCATAAAAGAATAATAAAAGAATAATGATACTTAGGTAAAAATCAAAGAAGAACCTGAAGTATTAAAATTAGAAAATTTATATTAAATTTCTTTTTAGATGTAACATATTTTTTTCATTTAGAAATGAAAATAAATGTAATCAGGAAGATTAATTAGGAATATATAAATTACAAATAAATTAAAATGAATATTATGAAGGTTAGTTTTATAAAGGTATGATGCATGGAAAAGGAAAACTCATTAAAAAAACTCAAAATTATGAATGCATGTAATTATTATTATTATTTATTTATAGCTATGAAGGTGAATTTTATGAAAATCAAAAACATGGTAGAGGAAAAGAAACAATAATCGAAACATAAATTAAAGATTTTAATTAATCTTTTTTTGAGAGTATGAATATTAATAGACCAACATATTAAAAGAAAACAGAACTAATTGGAGAATTTAAGAATAATAAGAAAATTGATATATTTACTAAAATTTAATATACTAATGACATTAAATAGTCAGAAATGTATTTAAATTCTATTAAAATAGCTACTTAATTTTTAAAGATGGTGTATTAATTAGCGAAATGTAATGATTAATATAAAACAATATATAAATTAAATATTGTACAATAATTATAAATTATCATTTTATATGTAGAGTCTCATCTTGATGTATTTTCATCTTTTATAATAAAATAAAATGCCACTTTCTTTCTAAAAATCATCTTAAAGACAATCTAAAGATATTAATTTTAATTTTACTAACATTTTGTATATTCACTAGGTAAATATTTAAAACCTATTTTTGTAATAATAAAATTTTTAAATATATTCAAATAATGAAATTCTCAGGACTCTTTAGTTAAGTTTTATTAAGCCTGAAATTGGGACCTTATAAAATTCATCTAATCTTTATGTGTATCATTAATTATAATATTCTGTGAATGGAACAAGCATAATTTTAGTTTTTGATGAGATAGTTAAATTGTTTCGATATAAAATCAAGTATTAATCAATTTAAATTGATATTGGAGTTGGGAAATCAAATAAAAAATCAAACCATTAATATTCTTTATCTAAGAGTGGATTTTCTATTTTGTTTTCATTTCTACTTTTTTGTTTTTCAAATATTAAGTAACTCAAACTTTTAGTAATATATATCAAATAAATAAGTTAATATTCTTAAAGCGATATAAAAATGAATAGTCTGAAGTATAAGAATAAGGTAGGATTTTTTGAAAGATATGTAATAAGAATGTGATGTGAATTTATGAAAATAATAAAGTATATGAGTGTATTAATAGGAATAAATCGTTATTTTAGAATTTAATAATTATATAATATTTTCTTAATTTGAAGTTCGAAAAGAAAAAGATGGAAGTTTTAGATAGAATAGTTGTTGCTATAAGAAAAAGGCCATTATCTTAGAAAGAAATAATAAAAAAGGAGGAAGACATAATTATTGTGTAAAACGATAACAGTGTGATCGTTAAAGAAATAAAGTAAGATTAATAAATTAAATGAGTTTAGATAGAAAGTAGACTTAACAAAATATATTGAAGAACATTAATTTAATTTTGATCTTGCTTTTAATTAGAATAATTCAAATGAATAAGTTTATATCAATGCAGTTAGACCAATAATAAGAGCAGCATTTTAGAGAGCAAAAGTGACATGTTTTGCATATGGTTAGACAGGAAGTGGAAAGACATATACAATGATAGGAGATATTGAGAGATAAGTACCTGGAATGTATTTATTAGCTGGATAAGACATATTTTAAATAATAGAAATGGTACATGATAAATATAATTAAAATATTAGGAAGAATATACACATCTTTAAGTATATGTTTCTTTTTTTGAAATTTATTGTGGAAAATTGTATGATTTATTATCTTAGAGAAATTAAATTTAAATAAGGGAAGATGCAAAAGGTAATGTGAATATGATTAATTTAATGGAAAAAAAGATAAATTCAGTTCAATAATTAATGCATTTTATTTAATTAGGATAGAATGTAAGAATTACAGGTATATATTAAAATATATAATAATTAGCATCAAATAGTTCAAATTCTGAATCTTCTAGATCGCATGCAATATTGTAAGTAATATTGAAATCGGGAAAAACAGTTCATGGGAAAATGTCATTTATTGATTTAGCTGGTAGTGAAAGAGGAGCTGATGTTTAAGATTATAATAAATAAACTAGAATAGATGGAGCAGAAATTAATAAATCATTATTAGCTTTAAAAGAATGTATAAGAGCATTAGATCTTAATAAAAATCATACACCATTTAGAGGATCTAAATTAACTTTAGTATTAAAAGATAGTTTAACTGGAAATTGTAAGACTGTTATGATTGGAAATATATCTCCAAGTTCATAAAGTAGTGAGCATACTCTAAATACATTAAGATATGCTGATAGAGTCAAAGAATTAAAGAAACCTGAAAATAGATTATATTAAGGTGATTAAATGTAAAGAGAATTAATGTTGGCAAGATAGGCAAGTATGATCATTTTTTATAAATTTAGAAAATATTACAAGGAAATAATTCAATGATGAAGAGGATTAAGAAAATTTGAAAAGTTTTAGTCCTATTTCAAATATTAAAAGATAATCATTATAATAACCATTATAAACTTCTACTTAAATGTTTAACAATTAGAATTTCAATTTATAAAAAGAAAATAGAAAGACTGATATTGCATCTGCTATTAATAAATTTAATCTATCATCTATTCCATCTATTAATTTAAATTTCAATAATACCTAATAAATTAATCAATCTAATCATAATAATTACTTTCCTATTCATTAAAGAATCAATTCTGCAAGTAATTACTAAAATGATTATGATCATTACAATAATGATAGCTAACAGAATTTGTTCTTAAAAACTTAAAATTATTCTTAATAACATAATTAATTATTTTAATAGCATTAATTTAATTAAACAAAGACTTATAGTGATTTATTTAGTGAATCTCCTTACTAATCATAATAAGAATAAGGATTTAAATAATTAAATTAATAGGCTGTTTAATAAAGTTAAGAAAGTTAAGAATTAGAAGAAGAATTTGATTATTCTCTTCCTTAACAATCATAAAGATAAGGATTAATAAATAATACCTCTATTGTTTAAGATCATAAAAATTTAATTGATAAAATTATTGAAATTTCTAAATTGGTATTTATATTTCATTATTTTAGGAAATGAAAGAAATTACTATTTATGAAAAATAAAATGATATTTAATCATATTTATAAACAATATAGTAGTAATTATAATAAAAAGTGGACTTGATATAAGAATTTTAACAGAGGGTTTGTGAAATGTAGTAATAAAGTTAACATTGGACATTTCAACCAAATGATAGCTAAAGTAGAGATGATTTGTTTCTATATACTAATTACTGAGTTAATAATAAAAATAAATCAAAACTGAACAAAATCATTATTGACAAATGACCAACCATTAATATAATTAATGGCACTAGATTTATCTGCAGAAAGTATAAAATCAAAAGGAATATCAAATTTTTAATTAAGTATTTCTTCATTAATCACTGGAATTGGTGGTTTATATTTTCTTTTTTAGTACAAATAGAAATACCTATTTAATAAATCTTTCCAATTAATTTATTTTAAAAATGGATGATCTTTAATTTCATCAGCATCTCTTGATGAAGCTCCTAATCTCTACATTGGATTCTTAATCAATAATGATTATATAATAGATTTGCATTCTTTTGTAATTGTTTCTGGAAATTGAATATTATTTTATTCAATATTATTTATCATTTCATCTCTATTAGCTGAAAAATAAGGTGGTCTACCAGTAATCATTTCATATAATAATATCCCTAATAATTATAATTTTAATATATACCCATATGATACCAATCTACAGCTCTACCATGTCCTACTCTCTTAAGCATTTCTGGTGCTAAATATGCCATTGAACCACAAAAACTTTTAGCCCCATAATTATCATGAATTCCTTCTTTTGATAATCCAAAATCTGTTAACATAGCATGTCCATATTAATCAATAACAACATTCTCAGGTTTTAAATCTCTATATATTATATCATTTTAATGTAAATGTTCTAAAGCAGTTAATATTTCAGCAAAATATAATTTAGCTTACTATTCTGGTAATCTTTATTATCTTTATATTAATTTAGATAAATCTCCGCCTGGACAAAAGTCCATTAATAAACATAAATGAGTATTAGTTTAAAATGCATATCTTAATTTAACAATAAATGGATGATTCAAATAAGATAGAATATTTCTTTCAGTTAAAGCATATCTTAATAAATTTTAACCAAGAAATTTATTCTTAGGTAAAACTTTCATTGCTAATTTTGGTCCTTAATTAGGTCTACCAGTTATTCTCTTTTCAACCAAATAAACATCCCCAAATGATCCTTTACCTATTTGTAATATTATTCTAATTGATGATGGTCCAATTACTTCACAATAATCTTATGCTGGATGAATGTATGCTGTTGATCTATTTGAATGTGAATTCATATATTCTATTTTTTAAGGAGATTAGCAACGACTTAACATTTGATAAGCATTTGTTTATTATTTACTATTAGGCGAAGTTATTACTCTTTCAGTTGTTTCTTCAAATATTCTAACTCTTTAACATTAGTTAAATGAATCTTATTTCATCTTAATTAAGTTGATTCACTACCTTCAAGTGTTTATCAAATAATATTCTTAGATCATGGCAATGTTGGACTAAATCATAAGGAGTTTTGCTATCTAGATTTCTAATATTAATCATTATTGAAGGTCGAGCCAATAATATTTCAGCCACTCTTTTATGTTCTTAGTTTAAATTAACAATATACAAAAATAACAAGCATAATGCAAAGGAGTATTTTAAAGATTATCCATATGGTTAATATCAGCACCTATAGTTAATAATAAGGATAATATGTATTCACATCCTTTTTAGGCACATATACTTAATGCTGTTTAACCTTATGAGTTTGTTAAGTCACAATCTGCCTCATTCTTTAAAAGTAATAATGCTAATTCGTAATTCTGATTCATACAACTATAATGCAATGGAATCATTCCTTTACTTATATTTAAATTTATTACCATTTTCATCTCTTATGTTGATTTCAGGTTTTAAATCTTTCGATGCTATATCTAATAACTTCTCTACTTCTTTTATATTGTTTGATTTAACATAATTTAATAAACATTGATTATTTTCTTTTTTCTATTACCACCAACCTTACCATGCTGATTTGTGTCTCTTTTTTAATTTTGTCATATACTCTCTGTTTACTGGGATTTTCTCTGTATTTCTAATATCATAAACATTTCCTAAAATATAAATATCTAACTACCTGTATCTTAATCTTTAATCAAAAAGGCTGCATCTTTCTCACTAATATTTTAATACAAATTAACTGGTGCAGTATTTGTGTGAAAGTGAGAAGATTTCCATTATTATTCTTCCATATAACTAGGTTATTAATCAAATCCAATTGAATTTTTAGAACTAGATTTATTACTATTACAATTTGATAAACTTTCTTATGAATTTTGATATATTGGTTATCTTTGACACTATTTATTAATATTTATACATGGCTTCTAAATTATAATCCTTTGTCTTTTATGCTTTCCTAACCTATAAATCATTTCCTTTTATGAATTGCTCTCCAACCCTGTAAATTTGCTAATTGGTTTCCCTTGGTGTCGGTAACATTTATTAGCGTTGCATTGTAAAACAAATTTATATTAAATAAACTTAATAATAAATTATACATTCATTCATATATATTCCTTAAACTAAATTCCTTTCTACCTCATGGTTTCATTTTTATATTTATTTCTTATTCACTATTCTAGAACTTTTTACATAAAATATCAAACTATATTTATTTTTTGATACAATCAAATTCTAATATAATCTAAATTCTTTTTGAAAACAAAACTTAATGATGAGTAAGCCAAATCACAAGTATTCAATCATTCAGATTTATTATGATCTTATATTATTCATAGTTAATAATTTATACTTTTAATTTAAAGTGAATATCAATATTAAGAAAAGAATAAGCAGAATAAAATAATTAGAAATGATCAAAAAGACTTAAAATATTAACAATAATTTCTAAATCATAGAATCATAATCCTAATTCAGCATTATTAAATTAATTTTAATATTTATTAAAACATTAAATGATTCAACATAATTATCATATATATTACTTTTAATTCAACGTTAAAAGAATCTCTTTATGTAAACCACTCTCATCATCAAATAGAATATTTATTAGTCTATCATATCTATCATAGCATTAATTCCTTTCATCATTATCTATTTATTCTTGTTTATTTTCTTAACCTATTTATTTAATTTATAATGGTGTGAATTGTTCTAATAATTTCTCATACACGAAAACATTATTGATATTTTACAAGCATTTATTCCTAAGATTATCAGAATCATTATCATTTTTACAAATTTTTATAGATTATTGAATTATTGAGCTTAATTATTTCAATTCTCTTTTTTTTATTGAATTTAAATCTATAAGTATTAACATATTTTAATTGTCTTTCATAATTATATCTATTAATTAGTCTAAAATTTCTTGATACTTGTTTAGGTATTTAATTTTAAATTCATCTATTTCATCTTTTGTATTATTCTAATCCCATAATTTTAATTCATTATTTTCTAATTTTAATTTATCCTACTCTTAACATATTAATTCCAGTATAATCAATGTTTTATAATTTTAACTATCATTAATATTTTTAAAATATTTTAAAACAAATTTTATTTTAGTTAAAAACTCCATTATAATAAGTCTTCCAGTAATTTATTCATTAGGATTCACAAATTTTTCAGTTAAATCGCGAATTTTTAATCTTTCTAAAAATTAAAACTGGTATTAAAAAATAATTTTTGAATATTCTTTTTTGATATCTTTTAAAGTTGGTCTGTCTTCATTTTAAACCTTTATACAATCTGTTATTATTTTTTTTAAAGCAGGTTCCAAACTTTCTATATTTTCTATATTTTATTAACTTAATAAACTTTGTTAATTTTCCATAAAATTTGCTTGCTACTATGATTACGAATTGCTTTTATTGTCATGTACATTTTATTAGAATAAAATATAATAAATCATACAACCTAAAGCAAAAACTGTCATTTTTTCATTAAATTGTATCTTTGAAGCTTATTCTCTCTCAATATCTTCATTTATTTCTGAAGGTATATTTTTATTGTTAATTAATTCTTGATTACCTTTACCTTAAAGTAAATTTTCAAAACCAAATTTACAAAGGATGAGTTTCTGAATTTTATAATTTGGAAATATCTCAAATTCTTCATCTCTGACAGGATAGAAATATGATTCATTTAGCATTGGAAGATGGATTCTTTAATAAAATAAGACCTTTACCCATAATTTTTTAAATCAATTAATTAATCTATTAATCTCTCAATAAGTAAATGTTTAGCAAATTTAATATGATTTTAATTGCCTTAAAAATTTCCAAAAATAACATATTGCTAGATTTCTGAAGAATTTTCAATTTCATTATTAATGAAAACAAATTCATGTTCCTTTTCTAAGATTTAAAGGGATTCTGACAAAAACAATTACCCACTGTTCTTTAGTTTTTTTAAATTACTTCTTAATTTTTTTAACTAGAAATAAAATGATTTAAATACCTAATCTAATTAGGTTGGAATCAAATCGTTCTTTTTTATAAAATGCTAGTTCATGTTCATCAATTAAAAATATAAATGAAATATTGAAAAAAATAAATTAAGTTTTATACATTTTACAAATTATATTCTATTGAACTTAATCACTAAGTTACTAATTTTTTTGTGTTTGTCTATGGTCTATTGATAATCAAATTATTATAATTAAAAAATCTTTAAAAAATAAACCCTAAATAAAAAAACTTTATTATTACATAATCATATTACATATTAAATCTTATAAAAGATTTGATTTAAATGTCATTGATGATCCTTGTTCAATTAATAATTGAATAATTTTTCGATCAAATTGTTTGAACATTGCCCCATCAAAATTATAATAAAATTTTATATAAATAATTATTTCTCTGGTCAACTATTTCATTTTATTTTCTGTTAATGATTAAAAGTAAGTCGTAAAGCAATTCGAATTTAAAAAAAAAATCTACTGCATCCACTTTAGATATCACAAAAAATAAGTAATAACAATAAGTGAATTAAAAAAGAGCAAAATCAATTACTTCTACAACAATGAAGTTTATATAGATTTAGATATTTTAGAAAGCCAATCACAATTATCAAGCCTCCTTTGATTGATTTAAAAAAGATTTAAGTAAATCCGATCACATTTGCAAACAGAAATTCACACAATAATTCATCAGATCAGACTAATTCCATAAGATTAAATAGTGATCTTGAATAATAAGCAGCTGTTTCTATAAAATAAAATAATTTAGATTAGTTACAAATTTTAAAGCGATAAAAATAGCTACTTGAATATAGATTAATGTTAGAGACAGAATCATGTGAATAATATTAATAAAATTATCATTTTCTTCAAGAAAGACTTTAAAAGTTGGAGTTCGCTAAAAATAACTATATTAATGAAATGAATTCGTTTACTAACTGTTTAAAAGTAATTTTGAGTAAGGATGAATGACTTTATTTATCTAAAAATTTATAAATATAAATATATTTATAATAATCAATTGAATGATTAAGTGAGTTCACATAATTGATCATAAATTTCTTATAAATAATTATGTGTAGTTGTGAAAGAAAAGTTTTCTAATTGACTGTGTTAAATTATAATCTCATTATCAAGATAAGATATATTGCATTCATTAAGATTATAAATCATTTAAGCTTTTAAACTTTTCTAATTTTTATAAATCTAAATTTATTTGTTATTAAAAACCAAATATCTAAAAACATATATTAAAAAATAATTACTTTTCTTAAATTTCTTCATCCTCAAATTTAACATAACAAATACCAATATTTTTAATAAAATAATCAGTTGATTCACTACTAAATTCATTGCTGCTTTTCTTTGATGAGGATAATGAATTTGAAGATCCTTTAAATGAAATCTCATTAATATTTGGTCTTTGTTTTGGATCATGATTTAAACATTCTAATATAGTATTAGCTATTTAAATGTGTTTGTCTCTAAGAATAGATGGTAAAATTCCTTTTCTGGCATCATTTATTACTTTAATCATTTCCATAGAAGTAGAAATTGGATGAAATAGTAACAAAATTATTAAACCTAATGCATAAATATCACTTTTTTAATCATAAAAAGCTTAATTTATATTTTTAGTGATTTGTTCAGGAGCAGCATACATTTTTGTACAAATATCATCATTGTTATCTTGATCATCAAAGTCATAAAATTGCTTTAATTTGGTTACTAAACCAAAATCACCAATTTTAACATCTTCTGGACTATTCATAAAAATATTTCCTGGTTTCAAATCACGATGAACTAATTTACATTCATTATGCAAATAGTCTAATCCTTTAATTATTTATTCTAATATAAGTTTAGCCTCATTTTCATAATTTTATAATTTGAGTTAATATTTTTCAATATTTTTTTTTTTCAGTTTTAGTAATTCGTTGTTTCTTTACTGCAAATAATTTTCTAGTGTTTATTAACAAAACTCAGTTTAAATGTAAAATATGATTTTATCAAACTCTAATTTTTTTTCATCTTGACTAGTTGATTTTTTATTTTGAGTATTATAATTTTATTTTTTTCTGTTTACTCTAGATTTTGGTTAAATTTCATTTTCTTATTCAGAATAACTTATCTATTCATTTTGGGTGTCTTTAAACATAATTAAATTTTCAAGTTCATTCTTTGAATTAGATTATGAATCACAAAAACTAAAATTATTTCGTTCAATAACGAAATCATTTTAATCTTATTCTTATTTTCTCATAATCTTATTTGAATCTAATTTGTTCTACATAACTTCAACCCAAGAATTAAAATATCTAATAATTTTGGGATGTGATAGACGGGCTAAATATTTGGCTTCTAAGGAACTTTTTGATAAAAATAGTATACCTCTTTATGCTCTTTCAATATTTTTCTCAAGGCTATCTTTAATGTCCTTAGCTTTGAGTTCAATCTAAAATAATATATAAACACAATTTACTTTTTTCAAAGCGTAAGTATTCTTATCTAATAAGTTGTTCACCTTATAAACCTTAGAGAATCCACCCTTTCCTATCCTCCCTAGTACCTTGAAGTCTGATTCTAATCTCTAATATTAATATTAAGTATTTAAGTATAAATATATGGTATGTATTTATATATATAAAGTTTTAGTTGATTTTTTACCTTAGACTGTAAGGTGGCTAGTTTGGCAAGATCGATTGGAAACATAATTTAACAAATTTATCAGAAAAAATATAATTATAATACATCATTATAAAATGATAGTTAAATATTCGAAAAAAAAATTATCATATCTTGCTTTGTTGATATATACTATCATCACTCATCAAATCCTGTCCTTTTTTATTGATTTCTTCCTATAAAAAATATAATATTATATATATACCTAATCATATTATGAATTGAATGTCTCAATTTTTTATAATTATAACTCTTATTTAATTGTATCTAAATTGAATTTCAACTTTTCATTTTCCCATTATAGTGAGGATACTTAATTTTACAAACATGCTACATAATCTTTGTTTTAAGATTCTTATTGTATGTCTGTTAATTATACATTCCTTTGACTTGAAGATTGTAAACATTATTATTATTTTAAAACAGGCTATATTTTGAGTTTTCTGTTGGGATGACATGAATTAAATAACTAAATTGGTACTTAACCAAATTCAGCTACTTAAGTTTCTAAAGCCTATTTTTCTATAGATGTTCTACATTAATTCCAGTTCACATTTTCAGCATAAGTATATGGATAAAATAAATTATCTTATTTGACAGCTTCATCTCCTCTAGTTTTACAACCAAAAATTAAATCAATCCATTTTGGTAGTTAAGAACTTACATAATCACTTTCTAAAGCCATTCTCATTTTCAATAAGAAATCAGTCATAGAAGTAGCCCAAGGTGGTATAATTGCATCATCTATAACTTCTCCTTCTTAAGTCATTCCCAACTCTAATTTATCACAATTTATCAAGAAATCTGGATCTAGTGAATAAAATTCAGGAATTAATTCTTTAGAATCAGCATGTAAATTCAATGTTGTATACCAGGTGCTATCAATACCTCTAAAAATGCGATCTGTTGGTCCAAATACACCATTTTAAAGTTTAATAACAAATTCAGGTATTTTTCTGATTAAATAATAAACAACTGTACCAGGACTTGAATAATGAGTTGGATAAATATAAGGAATAATGTCATTATTGTTTTTTTGACTTTTCAATTAATCTTGATATGACTATTTATATTTTTGTAATCTATGTTTATTTAAAGCACCAACTGGACGAGACAAATCTCTAAAAAATTCTGAAGATGTTAAATCAAAATTTTTATCTGTGTATTCTGCAATAACCCAAGGAAATACAGGATAAGAGGATAAATCACAATAACTTCTGCTAGAAAAAGTGTTTAAAGACATTAGATAATCAAAATTACTCAATCCTCCATTAACCCAAAGTTCAGTCAATTTTTCTATAGTGATAGAACTTATTTAATTTTTTGTTGTTTTTCTAATCAGATATTTATAAACAGTTTCAAGTTATTAAGTATCTTCAAATACAAGTAAAACACTACGTTTTTTATTAAAAAACCATATTTCCAAGCCAATTTATTTAAACATATAACGATACTTTAAAAAGAACTTAATATCCGTCAATTACCACATTAATATCTTACCTTTAGGTGAATTGATTAATGGAATATATTTGATACCTTCATCTCTTTAAATAGAAAATAATCCATATATGTTTCCTTCTGGTCTAATTAATTTACATTTAACAGCAATTTCAATTTTAAGTCCTTATTAAGATGATTATGCTCTATGTTCATTCATAGCTTCATTTAAAGTTGTATTAATAATTGTACCAATGAATGAGTTCTCATCTTCAGCTTAAGTAAGACCTTAATAAAGTTTAAGAAATCTGATAATATTTTATTTTGAATTTGACTATGAAATTGAAAACACAATATTCTCATCAGACTATATGATAATGAAATTAACTTACAGTTTCAGTAATGTAGGGACTGATTGGATTTCTATTAATAACAAACAGTTTATCTACTCTTAGAAACATGATAGTAAATTGTTAATTGGCAGTTCTAGATTGAACTTTATATAGTCGATCTAATAATTCATTATTTTTATCTCTTTTGAAATGCTAATACAATTAGTTAATATCTAAAGTATCAATATCTTCCATTAATAAAGAAGGAGTCCATTTTATTTACATAATTTAATTCATTGTTTTTGTATCAATGTTACGTAAAATCTTCATAATAAGGTTATTTGAATATTTCATTTTTATCATTGGCAATTTTGGTTGATTTGGTTGAAATACTAAAGAACGGGAACAAATGTGTAATTTGCCACGAATTCTATTGCTATTTCAAGATTGTTACTCATTGTTATTATGGAGTGAAACTTTGAGGGATAGAAAGTAGTATTCTTGAGTTTCCAAATGTAATAAATTGAATTCTTGTTTAGGCTTTCGTATAGATGAAAGTGAGAAAAACATTAATTAATTTATTATATAATGTCTTAAAGGAAAAAAAAGAGAGATCCAACTCCAACAAGAGTTGCTTTGGTTTGTCTAAAGACTACTCAAAATAATATATAAATCAATAACTAATCTTTGCTTAAGATTTTCTCCAAACATGGTTCAATATCGAAAGTATTATTATAGATGATATTTAATAACATAGATATTAATATTTGAGAGAGGCTAATTATTAACCAAAGTCTTTATTGAATATGATGAAGTAAATTCAGCTATTGATGCTATTAAGTATGAAATTAGGTAAATATTGTAGATATCTGAACAATACAAAAATATTGAATCAAATTTCATGTAATGTCTATCACTCTCGTTTAAAGTAATTGAAATTAGATACAGTCCCTTACACAAAAGGACTTGATTTTACAAATCCACCTTCAAATATTAATGAGCAAGTTGAACAAATAGAATAACAGCTTGAGAATAATGATAAAACATTTAATAGTAATGAATGGCAAGACTTTTAATTTGAAAATAGATCAACAGATGAAGTTTCAGATGAAGAGGAACCTCAATTTTCAGAAGAAAAGATGAAAGATATAATTACAAAGCTTAATTAAATTGATGAAGAGATAAATTAAACTATTGAAACAAAAATTGTTACTGCGTTAGATAAGCTTAGTTAGACAAATTAATTAACTAAGTAATAACAAAGTCAATTAATTCAAATCAATTAATGAAGACCCATAAATGATATATTCAAAATTTATAATTTCTCTCTTTCACAAATTGTAATAATTTAATTAATTACTATCTAAATATTTTTATAATCGATGAGAACTTAAAAAGCAAATTAAATTAGACTTGCTCTCAAATAGACATTATTTAAGGGTAAAAAATATCAGTTTTAATTAAATGAGAACATTCATGTAAATGAAATACCATCAGTTACTTTATATAAAAATTTTGATGAGATATATTGTTATAAGAACAAGAATCTTGGTAATGGAATTAAGTATAATAGGTTAGGGAGCACATGGGATTGTTAAAATATGTTACAACAAATTAGAAGGCAATGTAATTCAATATGCAGTAAAAATATTTCGTACAGGTGATCCTGAAATAATTAGTACAATTAAGAAAACCTTTAAAATCAATAGACAACTTAATGATCTACAATGTGTAATCAAAGCTATTGATCTATTTATCAATGTTACTAAAGAAGAAATTCATCTTGTAATGGAATTATGTCCATATCCTTCTCTAGATAAATTACTCTAATCAAAAAAATAACCAACTATAAAATAGCAACAATTATTAATTTTAGAGCTTGCTAAAGCAATAGATAAAATTCATAGTAAATGTGTTTGTCATAGAGATCTTAAACCAGACAATATCTTAGTTTAACTGACTGAAGATGATGCTAAAATAAAAATAATAGATTTTGGAGTCTCAAAAAAATTTGTAACAAAAACTAGAAATTCTACATTGAATATTGAAATGTGGACAAGAACAGGTTCACTATTTTATTAAGCACCTGAAATATTTGCTGGAGGAGGTTACAATTAAAAAGGTAAAATGAAGTATTAATGTAGTTGATATATGGTCTATTGGGGTAATTGTATATTAGTTGTTTTGTAAATAATTACCATTTTAAAATGATTAAATTTTAGATACAATTGAATTGATTTGTGATCCTAATTATAATGTAGAAAATACTACATAGTTTGAATCATTGGATTAGTTACAATAGGATCTTTTAAAAAGATTATTAAGAAAAGAACCAGAAAAAAGATTATCTTCATCAGGTTCTTAAATAATAAATAAATTTTAGAATTTATATTACATCCTTGGTTACATCCAGATAATTAAGACACTTTCAGTTTATAGATGAATTAAGATAAAGCTTAGAATTTATCAACATCAGAATAATTATTAGGTCCTGAATAATTAGATTAGAATATGTTGTTAATGAAAGAGCCTTATTGTGCTAGTACAATTTTAAGAGGTGAAGAACATAAAGAGAAAATAGAGAAATTAGATGAATTAGGTAATCATATTTATTTTTATTCATCATCAAAACATTTGAATCAAGAACCAGAAATTAAAAGTTAAGATGAAAAATAGACAAGTGTAAGTTAATTAGATGAAATGAAAGATGAAGGCCAAATTGATAACCATAAGAATTTTGATGATGATTTTGAATTAAATAATTACAAAACTGTTGGTTCCATTATATTGAATTGATGTAATTTGTTTAATATTTTCTCAAAATAAAATAATAATTGGCTTTTAATCTTTTTTTATTTAATGGTTTTAGCTATTACTTTTCTATTGCATTACAATCAATCTATATAAACAACAAAAATAATAGTAGATTTATCAATTTCTTATATCCAAAATTTCTAATTCAGTTTTACTCACAGCCATTTAAACTATATTAAATGTTGCAGAACAGAGTATAATTAAGACTGTTCCAAAATGTACTCTGTTAACCCATTTGAACATTGTTACTTCTTGTTTATCAGTTTCATCTACTTGTAAATAATCTGACACTGACATAAAATCAAGTCCAGAAATTAATATTAAACTTAATGTCATACAAATTAAGACAATCTTCTCTATTGAATCACAAAATTGCCAAGTTGAAAAATTTCGTAACTTAAATAACCTTTAGGTTTTACTTTATAGCATTCTTTTATTGCAAACAAATATTCATATTTACAATTAGGGCATTTTATTATCTAATTGTTTTGATTGTACTATTTTGTAGCCCACTCATTCAAACATCTCCTATGAATGTATGACAAAGATCCTTTGCAATTACAAGGTTTAAACTGTTTGTGACTATTTGTTTAGTAACAGATCCAACATATATGTTTTTATTTTTTTTTCATTTTAATAATTTCAATAAACAATTATAATATTCCTTTGTAAATTAGGATTCTTTCATGAACAAATAAACTAATTTCTTTCGACTTTAATATCTTCCATTTGATTCTAAATTTGGTTATTCATTTTTTAATCTTTTCTCTCTCTAAAATTAATAAAGCAAATCATAAAGTTGATAAGGATCATTCATATTTTATTCTAAATTTATCAATGCTTTCTATCTATGATGATACAAAATCTATTATAATTAAACTTTCATACCGAAGTACACAATTAAAATTTCAGGCTTCTATTCTACTTATGAATTGTAAGACTTCCTAAATAACATTCTCCTAAATATTCTAAATATTTTGAAACTTCTTATATCTTAATATGTTGAGTTAATTTTATCAAAACTTCAATGAAATCTATATTATTAACTAAATATGTATTGAAGAATCTTAAAAATTTACTCTGATTATTTTTCAAAGATTATGCCCTAATTATTATTATTAATTACCCTAATCCATTCATCATTAAAAATCGATCTACTGCCATCAACATTAAGCATTTGTATTGTTTTAATACACCTTATTCACTCCTCCAATTTAATCTTAAGTAAATCTTTAATCTTTCTAAAATTTGTGTAAATTAATTTAGTTTTGAATTCTTTTTAATCTCAAAATTAGTAAAAAAATTTATTGCTGCTATTATCATTTGTTAAAATATTGAATCTTCAATATTTAAATCATCAAACATAACTCCAACCTCTTATAAAGCAGATAATTAAAATGATGTTAATTCTTAATTCAAATTGTGTGGCTTCTTCATTATCAATAAAGAATTAAAAATTGAATAAATAAAAGCTTGAAAAGCCTATTTCGAATATGAACTTAATATCATAACTATATTAATTAGAAATATATACTTAAACCAAAGTATTACTAATAATCATATGGGAATAAACTGTTGTTCAAGAATTATTGAGTCAAATCTTTAAAGAGGACTTTTATATATTAAGAAAATTTTGATATAAATGGAAATTAGAAATGATAATTTATGTTAAGCATTTATTTGATATCTGAATAAATAGATTTTATTTAACTTTAAGCAATTGGGTACTTCAATTATTTAAGTTATTTGTTGATTTAAAAAGTAAAGTATTAATTTGTACCTTATCTTGGTTTCTGTAACTTTGTTATTTCTTAGTATTTGTATCTAAATATAAGCTATTAGATTTTACATTTTATCTTCTAATTTTAGCAAAAATAACCTCTTAAAGAATCTTGAATCACAAGATATTTAAGTTTTATTGAAATAATTACTTGTTAGATCGTAAGAATTTAAATATAAAAGTAAATGCAACTAACAATAAATATATGTATTGTAATCTCCAACATCTTATTGCTATTAAATTGACTCAACCAATAATTAATCAATTTAAGTAATATTTTTCTTTTTCCTAATGTAATCGATCTAAAATATACAATTTATTTGATTAGAAAATGCATCCTGGATCAATAATTTTAGATTATCTCTAAGCTAAGTTGGCAATAGTGAAATTTAGATATTTATCATCAATTTAAATGTGATTTTGTATGAAATTTTAGACACTCATCCAATTCCCTGGATTTCTATTAAGCAATCCTAGTAAAAAGTTGGTGGGTAAATAATCTATAAAAAATCTAGGTTTTTCAAATAAATAAGGCTTAGTTTATAGATGAAATTGTTACCAAATCTTTGAGTTCTGAGAAGAATTTAAAGTTGAATTCTTTAATAATGTTGAATATAGTTTTTAGACAAGTTTGGCTTAATGGATTGCAGAGAAAAGCTTAAAAGTATACAGCCATTTTATTTTTGATACAAATTTCACATAATAATGTGAAGCAACTTTTAAAAATGTAATGATAGTATTTATGGGCATCTTAAAATAAGAGAGATTTAAATACATGTAGTTTTTGAAATGGTAAGGATATTTTTGAAAACCAAATGAATGCTTTACTCATCAATTAAATGGTATAAGACTTTCATATCGGATTTTTGTATGATTAATTCTTTTTTGAAAGTTAATACAATTTTAAGTATGAGGATACATATTAAGCTTTGTAGTTATAATTATTAACTTAAGATATCTTAAATGGAGTTCATGAATTAAAACATTTTTTTCATTTCTTCTTTAGTTTTAGTGGAAATAATTTTTAATAATCTTTCCATAAAAACTAATACTTTGGATAGATTGAGTTAAGATTCTGTAAGTTAAATTTCTAATTTTTGAAAACAAAAGAGTTTGATTTCTTCATTATCTTAATTTTCTTTTGCTTTTTTATCAATTTAGCATGGACCTCTGATAGCTTCAGCCAATACAAAATTGATATTGATATCCTTTGTTTATAAAATCAATAAGGCATCAACAATAGTATTGAAATAGAGAGTTTTAGAATTGGATGCAAGTTTAAATAGATTGAGTAATTCATTGACAACATTTTTTTTATCAGTAAGTTTTTCTTTTTTAATGAGGGATGTAAATTTTTTCAAGAAATCTTTATCTTGTTTATGTCTATTGCTAGTGACTTCAAAAAGAGACCGCAAATCACTAATAAATTATTCATTAGTTTTATTATCAGTTTACTTCTATTTACTCATAAATATATTTAATAAAAATAATAATATAAAATAATAAGAGTTAATATAATGTGTAATAAGTTCATATCTTAATTTTACGTGTTAAATGGATGATTGAATAATTAAAAATGATTAATAATATATAGATATGTAAGAGAGAAGAGAATATCTTTATGCAATTTCTGAAGGGAATGCAAATGAAACTTCAATATACAGACATCCATTAGCTAAAGTAAATAAAAAAGTTTTAAAGTTAGGATGGATTCTTACCACCATTGGATAATAGAAAAGTGAATATGTAGAAGTAATTGCTGATATAATTTGAAAAGTTTAATGAGAAGAAGACTTTGGGAATTTACAATGAAGAAACGCAACGATACGATCATATATCATATAAGGTAAGAAATGGATATATGAATTAGGAAATAATAGAGATAGCTACAGCTCTTGGTTCTTCTCTTTGTGAATAAGATTCGATAAAAGAAATCTAAGATTAATAAAAGAATGTTATTCGTCCAGTTGGAATATATTTATCAAATAGAAGAGAATGGACACTAATAGATATAGCATGTATTTTATATGGTTTTACATCTTGTCCATTTTATGATACACTTGGAGTTGAGAGTATAACTTATTCAATGAATGTAACTTAAGTGAGGTATATATATATAATTAATTAATTTAAGTGTGTGTTTTGTATAAGCTAGCACAATAGGTTTTTTGGCTAAATCTAATTTGCCTTATTTAAAAACAATAGTAACAATAGGACCATAAGATCCAAATATTTTAAATACTTTGTAAGAGTAAAAGAAAGAAGTTATAAGTTGGGATGATTTTATAAAAAGATCAAATGGAAATTCAAAACCTTATCCAGAATTAGAAGCATAACATCCATTAACTTTAGTTTTTACTAGTGGAACAACTGGAGAACCTAAGGCAGCTATTTAAAGTCATTTAAATTTCACTTCAATGATTGCCCTCTTTGAACATTAAGATAAATTTGCCTTTACTTAGGATGATGTTTATTTATCATATCTACCATTACCACATACATTTGAGAGAGTTGTTCATTTAGCTGCTTTATCTGGTGGAGCAGAATTAAATTATTTTAGTGGAAATATATAAAATATAGCTAGAGATATTCAAAGATGTAAACCTACATATTTTTGTGGAGTACCTAGAATCTTTAATAGATTTTATGAAGGTATTTAAGCTTAATTAAATACTTTACCACCTGAAATATAATAAAAGTTTGAACTTGCTCTTGCTGCTAAAATTAAATATTATAGAACTACTGGAAAAACAACACATGATCAATTAGATGAAGCCTTTATTAAAACAAAAGCTATTCTAGGAGGTAGATAAAGAATTATAATTACTGGAGCTGCACCAATCTCTCCTAAAATTTTAGAATATTTAAAAGCTACATTTTGTTGTTAAATTATTGAAGGTTATGGTTAAACAGAAACTACTGCTGCTTCATTCTTAACAGATTATAATGATTCACTTTGTGGTCATGTAGGTGGACCAACTATTTCATAAGAATTTAAATTAGTTAGTGTTCCAGAAATGGATTATTTAGTTAATTAAATTGTTGACGGTTAAAAAAAAATTAGAGGAGAAGTTTGTTTAAGAGGACCAAGTGTTATTAAAAGTTATTTCAATAATATTTAAGCTACTAAAGAAACAATTAATGAAGAAGGATGGGTATAAACTGGAGATATTGGAGAAATTATTGATGGTACACTTAAACTCATTGATAGAAAAAAAAATCTATTCAAATTGTCATAAGGAGAATATGTCTCTCCAGAAAAAATTGAAAATTGTTATTTAAGAGTTAAAGGTATTTCTGAAGTTGTTGTCTTTGGTGATTCTTTATCCAATCATTGTGTTTCTGTCATTGTTCCAGAATCAACATTTCTTAAATAATGGGCAACCGAATACAATATACAAGGTGATCATTAATAATTATGTTAAAATAAAACTCTTAGAGATCATGTATTAAAATTAGTCAACGAATAAGTATTTATTAAATTTATTCAAGGGAAAATAAGACAACTTGAATGGATTTGAACAAATCAAAAATGTTTACTTAGAACCAAGACCATTTATGTAAGTTGGAATCTTAACAGAAACCATGAAAATGCAAAGACATAAAGCCAGATCACATTATTAAGATATTATTAAATTTCTTTATTCAGAAATTTGATCTATATTATACATTATTAATATATGTGTAATCTAATTTATTTGAGATTATTATTAAAATTCAATCTTTATTGAGAATTTTCAATTCCATCTTCCTATAAGTAGTATTTATTAACGAAATTTCTACTGGTATCCCTAGATTTAATTGAGATTCTAAAAAGTATGGCTTCCATGTTTTTTATAATAGTTTATACATATAACAAATTGTCTCAGGATCAAACAAACAATTCTTTGGGTTTTACACAAAAGAATCAATTGCAGCAAAAATACTCTTTATGAATTTATTATACTATTAATCTAAACATACTTAATACTTTGTTTGCTTTAATAAATGACATTTTCATTACTATCTTTTCTTTCATCCATTATTTATTTATTTTTTCCCTTATTGTAAAATAAGTTTCTCTATCTAATAATTTAATTTAATCATCCTCTTAAAAAATCTTTAATTCATCACAAACTAATGTAAATCTCTATTTTGACATCATTCTTCCATTGTCTCCACAATAATCTGCTTCCTAATAGAATAGTCTGATTGAAAATGAATAGTTGATACAACATAAAACTTCATACAAAAAATTCCATTAATTAAAATCAATGCTACCCTTATTTATTAAATCAACACAAGTATAAAGATGTTTATATTTATTAGATGTACGATTTTTGTATTTTTGATAAATCTCCAAAAAATGGTACATCAAGATATCATAATCACAGGGTCCTTATTGACTCGACATGTATGCTACTTCTGATGTAGAGATATCATAAATAATATTGTCAATTTCACTTTAGGAATATTTATTATCGGAAAACCATTTCAGTAAGGTATCTATGTATTTTGAATAAGAAACATTTGGGTATTCTTACAATGATTAAACTATTTAGAGATATAAGTTCAAATCTTAAATATCATATTCTGCTTTTAAAAATTTTACCACTAATTAACAAGTACTACTTTTAGTTTCATAAAATAAGAAACTCCTAATAGTTCTCTTATATCTATTTGCATCACTATATTATGATTAACCATAATGAGCTACAATGTTCTCATACATGTGTACATGAAGTGGAATATTTTAAATAGTATTTGGAATTTTCATAATTAATTCATTATAATTTTAAAGAATAGTGCTTAATTGATATAAACCAGTTCTTGAATTAATATTAAATTTAGATATCACTAAATATAAAAATATTCAGAATACTTTATTTTAATAAATTGGTTGCATAAACAGCAGATTTAACAGGACAAGTAGTTATTCTTAATTTCTTTTCGATTGTTAATTTAGGTTTACTTTATTTGAAATCCAATTTTATTTAACTAAAAGAAACATCACTTTCATCTCCAGAACCTCCTTTAGAAGAATCGCTTTTATAAATATCATCATCTTCTTTACTAGATATTTCAATTTAGCTTTGTATTTTTGAAATTTTCATTAAGGGTTTTTAAATATTAATAGTTGTTAAGGTCTTATTTGGAGATCTAGTTGGTGAATCTAGATCTTTAATAGATAATTATTATTATTATTTAGGATCAATATTAGTACCTTGTCTTCTTTTAAACTCTTTGAATTCAACATTTTCCAAGACTCCATATATATTAGCTTATTCTTTAATTTGATTAATTAAAAATTATGGAGCATATCTGATAACCTTAATTAAAGAATCTTCATAAAATTTGGACTTAAAATATTAATTTTATTTACAATAGTTTCTTTTTCTTTAGTTCTATTATGATATTTTTTAAATAAAACAACATTTTCATTAAATTTATTTTCAATTTCTTTCATTTCAAGTTCCATTTCTTCTTTATCAATTTTAGCATCCATAACAACAGAGATTTATGTTTATAAAACATTCCAACATTACTATTAATAAATATAGAATTTACATTAAAATAATAATTAAAATTGGCATAATTTTACATTAAATATAATTTGAGTGCTTACATATCTTCACTAGAATTATCTCCTCTTAAATTTAAAACAATTAATAAATCTTCAATTCTATCTTTCAATTATGTAATTTAATCAGACATAATAACAATAAATTATGGATCATTACTACTTAATTCTTATTCAGGAAAATAGAGAGAACTATATTCTGAAATAATTTCTTATAATGGAAACCTAGCCCTTCTAAATAGTTTTGATTCAGTTTAATTTCTAGGGATTCTTTCTTTTCTCAATTAAGTAGAATTAACTTATGATTCTTAATTTCCTTAACATGGTTAAGCCTATATTTCTTCATCTACTTTTTTAGCTTATTTAGGTGTTTGAGTTGAAGAACTCACATAAATATAATACTCTGATGTATCTTCAGTCTAATCTTTAGTTTTAATTAAATCACTTGTATCTACAGATGATTCTGTTATAATCAAATGAGTTGATCCATCATAATATTCATCTTACAAAGTAAGAATTCTAAATAATATTTATACATTTTTTTTACTTATATTAATTTTCAATTTCTTTATTATGTACTTCAAATTTTTATTTAAAAAATTCAAACATATCTTTTTATTATAAAATTAGATCCATTTCTTCAGCAGTTTCAGCTTATTTATGAAATTTCTCAATTCCTTAATATTCAATTAAATGCAAACTCTATTCCCAAAAATCACTCATTATATCATGCAATTATTCTTCTCTTCTTTTATCTTTCTTTCTTAAATAAATATTTTCCTTTTTCATTTTAATAATTGTATTTTAAACAGATACAGCTTCTTCCTTCATCATTCTCATTGATTCTGCTTATTTTTCAATAGCATCTTAATAATTTTTATGTAATTAATTAATATCTTCTAAACATTTCTATTCAATTTATTAATTTCTTTATTGAAGTCCTAAAATAATTTTCTAAACTTCTTAAGTGAAAGTATCCCATAATTTCTTTAAAAATTATCCAAATTCAAAACCTACTATTGATATTTATCTTTCCAATTCCAAAATTGAGCCTTAAAAAACTATTTCTAATTTATTATAATATTCTTAATAATCTGTTAATTTTAAAGAATGAACCTATTCTACCATCATGTCTAACCATTATGCCAATTAAACCATTTCTCTTCTCTAATTGATATTATGTAGGTTGATATTTTATGAATCATGATACAATAGTTTTTTCATTCTTCTAACTCCTCTATTACAACTTTCATCTAACATTGATAATGGTTGTAGTAATCGAGGTTTTATCTTATCCCTATATATAATTTCTATTATAATATTGTTACTTGACTATCAGATCTTTTATATGTGTTGAAATAGATTGTTACTACTAATTATTTAATTAATCTCTAATACTATCCATTCTATTTTATTCCAAATATCTATTGTGAATACTTTAAGTATATGGAAAGATCTTCTTTATGTCTTATTCAGTCAATAAATGTTAACTCATTGATCTAGAAACATGAGTCTTTTATTAATCAGATTATTTCATTTACTTATATATATAATTAGGTTAATTATTTTTTAATCTCTTCTTATCAAAAAATTTATTATTTACATAAAATCTCTAAGTTTTATAATTACTAATGAATATACTAATTTATTTCTGAACAGTAAAAGAAAAATATTTTAATGGTTTTTAAGAATCTTAAAATAACATAATTTAAATTGAAACAAATTTTGATGTTTGAAGGGGTCTTTTGGTTATAATTAATATTATTTGAAATAAACAGAAAAGATGTAAGAAATCAGTTTTCAAGATCTCTGGAAAGATTTTATATATGTAATGGGTGCTGCTACAGACATGTAAGCTGTTTTAGATACAGTTGGCTAAGAACATTCACTATGGTTATAATCTAGAAACAGATTGAGTATTAGGCTGAATCGATCAAATAATTTACATTTATAAAATGAGGATCCTTCTCTCATTCATGATATTAAATATCGATATTATGAAATAGTTACTATGCAATAATTTGGGGACATTGTTTTAGGATATTTGAAATTCTATGAAAGTAATTTATAAAGAGTACCCATCAGACTTCCTGAAGGGGAAGTTGGTGAATGGTAGGATTTTGATGATAATGAAATTAATTACTAGACATAATCCATTATTAAATTGCTTATGAAGTAGTTTTTTATTTAGAGAATTTTTTAGAAAACGATATTCTTTCAGAAGATAATGGATAGAATAATTATAGTCAAATACATCAATAACTGCTAATTCTACTGATAGAAACTTAGCTCGTTCTGTTTAAAGCATTTATATTCCTTTACAAAAAACTAATGGCCAGTTTGTCATTTTGGATTCTCCATTAGTATTCATTTATATTATATATTTGATAAGTCCATGTCCAATCACCTCAACGAAAATTTACTTTAAAGTAAACACAGTGCTTAAAATTCAATTGGTGATTCAGAACAAAACCAAGGAGCTAAGCGTCTTTCTTAAAATGCTCCGAAATATAAAAAATTACAAAATTTAAGAAAACAATCCTTAGATGTTAGTATAGACAGTCTTAGAGAGAGTCACATTTCTTAATAAAGAAATATGAGTAAAGCTAAGACAAATCTCAAAACTCGATAACATGAATTAAACAAAGAACATATGGAAAAAAGCATTATAGAAAAAAATAGAAATTGCTGTGGATCTGGTTGTTGTCAATTTTGATTTATTACACATACTTTATTTTTATATATATTATTCATTCAATCTTTTTAATATCAATAATTTATTTTTCTAAATTTAATTTATTAACATGTTTATATATACATATATAATTAAATGGAAATTCAATTATTAAAAAGAATGAAGTCTAATATACAATTATAACTTAAAGGGTTCACTTAAACAAAATTTAATATAAATCTCTATAATTCATTTGTAAGACAATAATAATAAAGAGATCTTTCTTGTAAGTTAGTTTTTTGGCCCTTGAAATATTATTTTCAAATTCAATATCAACATCTTATCTTTATTGAAAATTATAAATTTTTGAAAGATAAACTTATAGTTTTGAATTAATATATAGAATTAGTAGTAAAATTAGTTACTATTTCTGAAATACACAATATATATCAATAAAAGATTTTTCAAGAGTGATACAATAATAATTAAATGAAAAAGCATAAGTAAAATAGAAATAAATAAAATATATTGAATATTTAGTAACTTTGAATAAGCTTTAACTATAAAATGAGTAAATAATTCTTAGATTTCCACAATTAGATATATATAAATACTATATGTAAATAATAACATTTTTAAGAATTATCAATTTAATAATAGAAAAATATATAAATAGATAAGTTTAAAAAAATAATAAGAAAGTATTTAATAGAATATATAGATTAAAGTATTGAATAAGGAGAATCATAAGCTATATTCATAAAGAAGATAGATAAAATTCGAATGGATAGTAAAAATAAACATAAAAAATACAATTTGAGATATCGGTAATAAAAGTTATATATATTATGTTAGTAAATTAGTTAGAAAATTAAGGAACTTTAAGCAATGGTTTATAAAATTTTTTATGGTAAGGATAAGAAGAAGGAGTAGTAAGATGAAAAAAACCGTTAAAATTTATGGATCATTCAATTAGAAAAGTATATCCTACAACTTGAAAATAGTTTTGAAATATATTTATAGATAGTATTATAAATGTTTTAATTGTTTTTTGTTTTTTAGATAATAGTTTTAGGATATTCATAACCAAACAGCCTTTTTATTTGAAGAAAAGTTTGATAAAAT